TAGATCCATCCAACTTGGAAAAATATAATTTAGCTGTCCAGCCCCCTGGAATTTGAAAATCACTGTAGTGGGCACCATTATTACTGGATCTTTACAGATTTCTGGGTCCTGTATTGAGAAGCTGTTTTGGTGCTTAATGAACTAAAGAGGGTGTCTCACAAGGATTGGGCAACATTCAGAGAACCCTTTGCACTTTCTCAAAGAATGCAAAAAATTCTCTGATTGAATGAGGTGGAAATTGTAACACCATTTATTTCAATGACATTTATTAAAATAATATAAAGGAGTCTCTGAATGGCACCTGTGCTGAGTGCTCTCTTTCTGTGTTCACAATTCAGAAGGGCAGCCACTGTGCAAGGGATTCAAAAGCTAGGGGAGATAACTGATAATGATGCTTGTTACAGTAATTTCTAGCTTCCAGAAAGATTGGCCAATCTATACAAATTTTATAGTTTTGGACAGCTTAAGGAGGCTATATTCAACATGGGTAAGTTATCTAGAGCTGTAACCAAGTGAACCCTGCAAAAGTACAGGCCTGGCTATAATATTTTGTATGCTGTACATATTTATGTTAATCAACCTCATTGTTTTTGGTAATTAATTTCATTAAGAAAAGCATTTTCAAATTGGAAGAACCAAACCTTTTTTCAGCATTGCTTACAAGAGGAAACATGCACCTGAGGTATCACAGAAACATCTAAAATTTTTCTCTTTTTGTTTCTTAATGAAACAATATGAGCTGGCAGGGCAGAAGTGCAAACCTGACTATAATATTTTGTGCACTGTACCTATTTAGGTGAATCAACCTCTGGATACCTCATTGTTTTTTTATAATGACATTAAGAAAATATTTCCAAATAAGAAGAACCAAAACTTTATTTTTAGTAATGGTTTTAAATTTATACAAAGGACATGCATGTAGCTGAGGTGGCCTAGCAATGACCTAAAGGCAATTTTCTGTTTTTTCTTTAATTATTCAATAATATAAGCAATTAAACATTTTAACAGTGCAGTTGGATGAGTAGCTGCCTATTTCAATGCAGACTAGTTTGTGTTAGTAATTGATTTGGTTTAAAAGGAAACACATATTCACTGCTTTTTACCTTTACGTCTAATGAAATGTTTCAGGTATGGGTGAGTTTTTATGCCAGCCTCCTTCAGGCATGGGAAGTTCTTAATGAATGTCTCAACAGGAATGTCTGTCCAATATGACCTCCCTGACCTCTTACAGTCTTTTAGAAAACTTTTCAGAAACTTCTCTTGAGGCCACGTGACTAAATGTTGTTCATGTACCACCTACTCTTCTGATCTCTAGCTACACGTATTGCCTACAGTGTATAGACCATGTTAGACAGGATACACTATGTATTAAAACAGAGGGAGGTCATGAGCTTAGGTCAATGTAGGATCTAGTATAATAGGTAATTACACCTCTATTTGGCATAGGATATAGATTGGGCATAAATCACAGTTGTGATAGCTAGGTTTGTGCCACTCCTGGTTATTAGATGTGTGTCAGTGAGCAAAGTTCTGATCAAAGCCAACACTCAGGCAGCCAGGGGTCGTGAAGCATGGCTGAGGACTAATTGCTAGTCTGAGCGGTGAAGGAAGTTTGTAATAAAAGACTATTACCTACCCTACTCTCAAACCACTGGAGCGAAAATATGAGAGATTATATTTATCAATAGTTTTCTGTCAAGGAATCTGAATTTCTTGTCTAGAGACAAGACAGAAAATAATATCAGGTTTACATAGAAAGATTCACCTGTGTATCCATTACATACAAAAAAAACATTTCTCAAGCACTCTGATCTTGATAATAATAAAAAAAAAATATCATAAATAATAATAATGCCATTAATACTAGATGTATTTAACATGTACCTCAACATTACTGTTAATGATTTATATGGAGTTCACATTTTAGAGTACGTCAAAGCAGAGCAGGGAAATGAAAAGAATATAACAATAATGTTAATACATACACAAACACAATGAAATAATAAGAATGAAAAACCTGCTAAAATTAGCTTACAATCTAGGAGAAGAAGGCGATATATTAGATAAGGGAAATTGCAGAGTACACTGACTGCTGGAACAGTGCTTATGGCAAAAGTCAGTCAAGAAAATTAATATGTTCAAATTGGGATTCTGTAGATCCATCCTCAACATCTCTTTGACAGGAAGAAAGAGAACAATAATTTTTTCTTGGTTATAGTGAAAAATACAAGTTGTTCTTTTAACCAGACTTAAAACACTCCACCGATATAAATGAACATCTCCAGATTTCTCCATCTCCATCTAACAGGATCAGGAGAAAATTGGGATATTTTACAAAAAGATATTAACCATGTTGGAATTGTTTGGCCAATAGCTTTTGGTTACTGTATACCTTTCAAAGAATAGGGCCTTATATAATATTTTTAGGCAGCCCTTAGGTTAGTCTTCTTTTTTTTTTTCAGCCTGAAGAAATGACTAGATTCCCTCATCCACACACTTGATGTAGATGGGGGCATCCTCCCAGCTGAGATATTGTATTCTGCTATCAGAATACACTGATCAATACTGCTGGCTATGGCCTGTGGCACTGATTGAGTTGGGAAAAGTGGTTGTACAAAAATCGATGTGTAGTACAACTTCTGAACAACCTCCCTGCCCATGCAAATCAAAGTTTGGCTGGTTCCTGCTGAACTGGCTGAACTTTGATCCATGTATGGCCAACTCCACTAAACTACTCGTACACTCCCTGATTATCTCACGCCTTGACTACTGCAACTCCCTTCTCACCGGCCTACCCCAGTGCAGACTCTCCCCGCTCCAGACCATCCTGAACTCAGCGGCCAGACTCATTCACCTCACCAAACGCTCCACCTCTGCCACCCCCCTCTGCCTATCCCTCCACTGGCTCCCGATTGCCCAACGCATCAAATTCAAACTACTAACCTAACCTGACCTACAAAGCCATTCACAACACTGCCCCTAACTACCTCACCAACCTGATTCCCAAGTACCACCCTACCCGTACCCTTCGCTCCTCACAGGACCTCCTTCTATCTTGCTCTCTGGTCTCCTCCTCCCACGCACGACTGCAAGACTTCTTCAGGTCCTCCCCCATCCTCTGGAACTCACTGCCCCAATCCATCAGACTGTCACCTTCCCTCCTCACCTTCAGGCGCTCCCTGAAAACCCACCTCTTCAGGGAAGCCTACCCCTCCCTCACCTAACAGCCATTCTCCTTCATTCCTCCTACCACTCCATCCCCCACAGCCACTTCCTCCTGTGCTACTACCCCCTCCCTCCTAGATTGTAAGCTCGAAAGAGTAGGGCCCTCTAACCCCTCGTGTACTGTTGTTGTTGCTGTTCTCTTTCTTGTATTGTCCCCCCCCCTCTATTGTACAGCGCTGAGTAAACCCTTTGGCGCTATATAAACTCGATGTAATAATAATAATAATAACTTGAGCAAGCTGAACCTTGAGGGAAGCCATAACACCATGCCAGCAGTAAAATGTGAAAAGGATTACCAAATCTGGTGCTTGAAGTAATAATTGTAAAAATAACAATAGATAACCTGATAAATTACACACATTGACCACTAACTCTTTGAACTGGTGTAGTCATGCTACATGAAGCAGCTGTCTCTGTACAATATTTGTTATCATGTTACTAAGCACAAAAAAAGCTTGAAAATGGTTGTGTTGAGTATAATGAACAACTTACCTAGAGTAGTGTTGTAGCAGAAATGCATTATTCAATGAGGACCTTTTTATTGTCTACAGAGAGCCACTGATATTTGAAATGTGCATTTACAGTCAAATTTAGGCTCTTACAATGCTTGCATTAAAATGCATATAATGATACATTAATTATTACAGAGTTACATTAATTTGTCTTGGGGGGGGGGGGGGGGGCATCACAATGAGTAAATATACCACCGAATGTATGAATATAAACAAAAATGACCAATGGGGGTTTTGCAATCTGAGGATTATAAATGAGCTATATTCAAAACTGTGCGGCAGACTGAAACAACAGCCCTTAGCTAAGGTGTAGGATGTTTTTTTTTCTGGCATTGACTGCTAATTTGGGATGCCTGCTCTATTTTGCTCCTCTTTGGAGGCTAAAAAAGTGTGTGAGCCATGAAAAAATAGTAATGGGCCCAAGTTTGATTCTTCAAGGGTTCTGTGAATCATGTAAAAAATGTATCAAACTAAGAGGTGAATTCCACTGTTTTATGGAGATGAAGCATGTTATTAAATTCTGCCCATTTTAGGGTTAATTGGCAAACAACCATAAAAAAGGCACCGCACAGTATTGCATTTACCAAAGCAACAACAACATTTTCTGAAAACATTTTTTTAGGGTCTTGTGAGGACCTTAAGGATGGCATTGAAAATACATAAATCCTTTTAAATAACATGCTTGGAGAATGCCTTCATCTTTACTAGAGATGAGCGAATTATTCAAAAATTCGATTCGGCTGATTCGCTGAATTCGCGGAATAAATTCGATTCGATGCGAATATATTCGCTGCGAATTTAACTTATAAAAAGGGTGTTTCTAGGCTTCAGAGAGCCTTTATATTAGTGCAGAACACTGTACCTTTAATTTAAATGCCCTTGGAGTCTGCTGGGGAAGAGAAATAATACTGTCAGTCAGTATGACATGCAGATGAGTGCCGTCGATCTTAGAATCACCGCACACTTCACTCATTTGGGCAGTCACGGGGCCAAAACTAGAGTGTGGAGCCACAGTGTGGCGGTGGAGGCAGCAGCAATGGGAGGCCATACAGCACCCTATGACAAAATGGAACCCACCAGCAGTTGTGAGGAGACCTGAAAGTGGCACATGGCAGAGTGTGGCGATGGAGACAGCAGCAATGGGAGGCCGTACAGGGACCCATGACACACTCTGGACCTGGCAGCAGCATGAGGAGGCGGTACAGGGGCCCATGACAGATTACGGGCCTGGCAGCAGCATGAGGAGTCGGTACGGGGGCCCATGGCAGATTACGGGCCTGGCAGCAGCAAAGGGAGGCCATACAGCACCCTATGACAAAATGGAACCCACCAGCAGTGTGAGGAGACCTGAAAGTGGCACATGGCAGAGTGTGGCGATGGAGACAGCAGCAATGGGAGGCCGTACAGGGACCCATGACACACTCTGGACCTGGCAGCAGCATGAGGAGGCGGTACAGGGGCCCATGACAGATTACGGGCCTGGCAGCAGCAATGGGAGGCCATACAGCACCCTATGACAAAATGGAACCCACCAGCAGTGTGAGGAGACCTGAAAGTGGCACATGGCAGAGTGTGGTGATGGAGACAGCAGCAATGGGAGGCCGTACAGGGACCCATGACACACTCTGGACCCTGGCAGCAGCAAGAGGAGGCGGTACAGGGGCCCATGGCAGAGTGGCGAAGCGTAAGCAGATTAAATTGAAGGCCATACAGAGGCCTATGTTAAAAATAATAACATGTTTGGGGCATGATTCATGGCGGATTTAGTCAGTTGTGTCAGGAACTGGTGGTTTGAAATCCAGACTAATCCACGCCTGATTCATTTTCACAAACGTGAGTCTTTCCACACTTTGGGTGGACAGTCGTGTCCTCCGCGGAGTTACAATACCTCCTGCCGCACTAAACACGCGCTCCGATGCCACGCTACTGGCCGGGCATGACAGCCTTTCAAGGGCAAATTCAGCTAGTTGGGGCCAAAGGTCAAGTTTCGTTGCCCAGTAGTCAAGGGGATTGTCTACCTCGGTTGGCAGGGTGCTGTCCAAGTAGGCCCGAGCCTGTTGTTTGAGGTCCTGCTCCATGTCCACCTGATGCTGCTGCTGCTGCGGCTGGTTAGTAGTTTTCCTCACTGCGCTGGTGAAGAAAGCTACTCATCATCGACTGCAGACTGAGGCAGCCGCTGCTGGTGGAGCTGCCACTGCTCTTACCACCCCACCCCTCCCTGCTGCCATGGCAGCGGAACGCGAGCGCACAGGGCCCACAGTGTCTGAGGATGGACGTTGGCGCAGAAAGGCAGAGACCAACTGACTACATAGGTGGTTTTTATAGTACTTTATTTTGGCCTCCCTCTCAGCAGGTGTGAAAAAAGGCCACCATTTTTGAACGGTAGCGAGGGTCCAACAAGGTGGACAGCCAAAAGTCATCCCTTTGTCTGATGGTTATTATTCGGCTGTCGCTACGCAAGCAACCGAGCATGCTATGGGCCATTTGTGCCAAGGAATGCGAGGGACTCCCTGCCTCCATCTCCACAGCATACTGCCACGGTGCGTCTGGGTCCTCTGTCTCCTCCTCCTCCTCCTCTACCAGATGCTCCTGCTCCTCCACTCCTGTCCGCTGAGTGGAAAAACCACCCATTTCACTCAATAATTCCTGAGCACCAATGTCCTCCTCTACCTCTCCTCTTCTTCCTGTCCTGCCCCCACAGGGGTCATGTGGCGTTGAGATCTGTGCGCCACGTCTACCGCACCCTGACCAGCCATTGTTAACAGCATTTGTTCCAGGACGTGCAACAGAGGAATGACGTCGTTCATCCCATAGTCCTGCCGACTCATGAATAGCGTGGCCTCCTCAAAGGGCCTGAGCAAGCGGCAGGTGTGTCACGCATGAGCTGCCAATGGCTGACATCTAAGTTACACAGGGGAGTACCTTTATCCGCTTGTAACATCAGGAAATCGGTGATGGCCTTTCGCTGTTCGTAAAGGCGGTCTAAACATATGTAGGGTTGAATTCCACCTTGTTGCAACGTCGCAGATCAGGCGATGCTGTGGAATTCCGTTCTGCCGCTGCAGCTCAAGGAGGGTGTGCTTTGCGGTGTAGGAATGGCTGAAATGCATGCAAAGTTTACGTGACATTTTAAGGATGTCTTGCAGTGGGATGGTGGATTTTAGGAACCGCTTGACAACCAGATTGAACACGTGAGCCATGCATGGCGCATGGCACAACCTTCCTTGACGCAGAGCAGACACCATGTTCTTTCCGTTGTCGGTCAACATGGTTCCGATTTTCAGTTTGCGCGGAGACAGCCATCTGTCGATTTCTCTGTTCATTACACTCAGAAGTTCCTCCCCTGTGTGACTACGTTCGCCAAGGCATACCAGGTGCAGCACAGCGTGACACCGTTGCGCCCTGCACATGTGATATGCCGGTCGGGTAATGGGACTTGGCACGGGGGGTGGCGGCTGAGGACACGGCGGAAGAAGAGGTGGTAGAGGCGGACATCTTTGCTGGACCAAGGACGTGCAAACGTGGAGGCAAAAAGTGGCGTGACCTGTCCAAGTTGCTGGTGCGGCTGTGCCGGCACCACGTTCACCCAGTGGGCCGTAAATGACATGTACTGTCCCTGACCGTAGTTACAGCTCCACACGTCGGCGCTGCCGGTGCACTTTGGCAGAGACGACATGCTCAAAGACTGGCCCACCATCTCTTCTACATGTGAATGCAGGGCTGGCACTGCCTTTTTGGCGAAGAAATGCCGGCTTGGCACTCTCCACCGCGGCTCGGCACAAGCCATCATTTCTCGAAAAGGTGCTGAGTCCACCACTTGGAAAGGGAGGGACTGCAGCACCCAGCAACTTGGACAGGAGGACGTTCAGCTTCTGCACCGTCGGGTGCGTGCTCGCAAACTGTTGTCTCTTGGAAACGGATTCCAAGAAAGACTGTGCTGACGGAATCCGTGAAGAGGAGTAGCAGGAAAAGGAGCATCTGAACGAGCGGAAGATGCCAACGAGCGACAACTCCCCTCAGCAGAGGTGTTGGAGCCTTGACCTGGCTGATAGAGGGCGATTGACGTCGGGTGACGGAGCAAGTAACGGAGCGGGTGATGGAGCGGGGGCTGGGGCAGGCAGAACCGCCGTATCTTTATCACGGTTTTCCCAGGCCACCGAATGGCGACGCTGCATATGCTGACGCAACGCTGTAGTCCCAACATGGGCCCCCTGGCCACGCTTGACTTTCTGGCCACATAGTCGACATACGGCTACGTTTACTTCCTCGGGCGGCTTGAGGAAAAATTGCCACACCGCCGAGTAGGAAACTTTGCCCCCCCGCTACTCCTCACTGCTGCAGCTGACTGCTACTTCCTCCGTGCACACCGGCACCACTACTGGCCGTGGTGGTAGGCTGCAGTGGAGCTGGTGCTCTACTCCATGGCCGTTTGCCTCCACTGACACTGCTGCGACCCTGCTGCCTCCTGGGCAACCCACCGACTGTGTTTTGCTCGCTGCCAAGCTGGCACCCTCTTTCTCCTGATGATGCGGAAGCAATAGCCTGATGACGACGAGGCTGCCAAGTGCGATCAGCCTCATCATCATCAATTAGGGTCCCCGCCTCACTACTAGCCCCCCTCGGCTGCGTGTGGGTCAGGAGACAGACCTGTCTCTAGACCGGCTACCGAGCCACTCTCCTCGCCAGTACTTCTTCGCCTGGCTGCTGAAGAGGCGGATGTCTCCCCCCGTTCCTGACCGCCCTCTGTTAGCTCTTCCTCACTGTACAGTGGGGCTGAGCCCACAGCATGCGATACTTTGCTTGGTGAGGGAACACCAAAGGACAGGGGCAGGTAGAGGACACGTGATTTCAGTGGGCTTGCTCCCGGGCCATGCCAACTAACAGTTGTGTCTGACGTACCCACCGACCGTTGGCTGTAGGTGTCAGAGGTGACCTGGGAAGAGGAAGACGACCGAGCCAACCAATCAATGACGGCAGGGTTGTCGGTGGAGGACACAACCGCTGGATGACACCGGGAGCACTGGCCTCTGGCTGCGACTAGTGCTGCCTCGACCCCCTTCCTCTGCTGCCACGTCTGCTCGCTCCTGAAACATTGCCTCCTCTGCCACTCCTCTGCGTGTTGTCTGACATACTCTTTAATTCAATAGTGGTTGTGAAGCAGAAAGTAACGATTCTGTGTCCCTGAGTAACGATTCTGTGTCCCTGAGTAACGATTCTGTATCCCTGAGTAACAATTCTGTGTCCCTGAGTAACGATTCTGTGTCCCTGAGTAACGATTCTGTGTCCCTCAGTAACGATTCTGTGTCCCTCAGTAAACGATTCTGTGTCCCTCAGTAACAATTCTGTGTCCCTGAGTAACAATTCTGTGTCCCTGAGTAACAATTCTGTGTCCCTGAGTAACAATTCTGTGTCTCTAAAGTACAAGGAGTGCAGCGCTACATCAAATTAAATGGCCAAAAAAAAAAAAATACAGTAAAATAATATCAATATAGTCAAATAATACTAATATTAAAATAAGTCCACTGTAATATAAATATATGGATTCCTCAGTCCACAGTGAAATATCAGACGTTGTAGGTGCAATCTGGTCTCCCGTTGTGATAATATGAATAGATTGCCTACTCACCAGAAACCCAGTAATAAACGCATATCTGTATCACATGCATCCTAGGATCTTGAATAAAAGACAGCCGGAAAAATGAAATCCTCTGATGGACCCTCAGTGGTGAAAGAAAGGATACCGATCTGATCTACAAAGTATTTACTTCATCAAGTCTGCAGCAATACCTAAATCACTGGGGCTGAGACATGGAGGCTCAGTGCCAGATATGGAGAATAAAGGTGCTCATAGTGTAGTATTTAAAACTATAAATTTATTACATTAAAATCTGAGCAGAAATACATACATGAATGACTGTATATAGTATGAAACTGCTATGAGCAGTAAAAGCACCCAAAAACACTGACCAGTATACATCTAATGTGGGCCGCCGGACCTCCTGATCCGGCGGCGTAGCGTCAAAGCGTGCAGGGGCTCCTCCTAGACGCGTTTCATGTAAACACACATCTGCAGTAGGGGTGATGCCATGCACGCCGGACGCCATATTAGCCCTATATATAGGATAGAAAAATGCATAATCCAGCCGGCGCCATTTTGCCGTAGACCGGCATATTGAGCATGTGCGGGTGCCATTTTGCCGGTGATTTCCGGGTTGCTAAAAATGGCCGCTGTATGTCCCACTGCACATGTGTCGGCGCCATTTTCTTGGTTAGAAGCTCCAGTGTCCTAACCCTAGAGTTGCCAGAGAACTTTAAACCCTCAAACACGGCCGTACGGTCGCCGATCTTACTGGGGGTGACACCCAAAATATGAGGACCCATTCCAGTGTCCTAGCAAAACCGGCCAAAAAGCAAAACATCAATACAACAAAAACTCTTGTGCTCCATACATCTCTTATGTGACTAATAAGATGTAGAGGCACCACCTAGTGTTCTATCTGGGAATAGTCATAGGTCAAACTTTAAATTAAAATTATAATTATAATAACCCATTAAACGGATATGACAGTAATATCCGTTCTGAATATAATACTGTGCATAAATAAAAAATGCGGCTGCTAATTTACTGAAATACCTTACTGGTTTCGGTACAGATTCTAGTTCAGTAA